GCAACAAAAAAAAAAAAAACAAATAGGCCTATGATAAACAAACAACTATTACTGATCTCAAACCAATCAACTAACATTGCGTTGTTTCTGTAAAAGAGAAAAATAACACCAATTAATAAACTGTAATATTAGTACTGTAATCAAATAAAAATAATTGGTAATACAATTCCAGGCATACCCGCCATTGAGTGGGAATTCGCGTTCACAAAATTGAACATGAAAACAATTTTGTAGGCAATAATTCTGAGCCCTTAGGAGAGAGGCCTATATATTTTGGGGCTAAATATTATTTTCCCCCGCGACGAGGGACGCTTTCGCGCATGCGCTGGCGATCGTCGTAAGAATAGCATTGGGAGCTATAACGACTCGTCGTAAAAATAGTCACTTCGTAATAATAATAACACTTACGGACGATGATGATGGTATTGATGAAGGTGATGATAAATGATGATGATGGTGGTGGTGATGATGATGTGGTGATGATGATAATAATAATAATAATAATAATAATAATAATAATATTAATAATAATAATAATAATAATAATAATATTAATAATAATAATAATAATAATAATATTAACAATAACAATAACAATAACAATAATAATAATAATAATAATAATAATAATAATAATAATAATAATAATAATAATAATAATAATAAAGTAAGAACTTATATAGCGCCATTTAAAAAACCGAAGTAATTATCAGTGGCGCTTCATGTTATTGTTGGAATAAGTGCGTTTTGAGTGATTTTTGAAATAAAGGAATTGATGCTGATTTTTTAATGTGAAGGGGTAGTGCGTTCCAGAGTGTGGCTGCAGCAAATGAAAATGATCTGTGTCCGAAGGTCTTAGTGTTGGTGCGAGGGACAGAAATTAAATTGAGATCCGATGAACGTAGGGAACGGCCAGGCACATATTTGGAAGTTGATAAATGTATGCGGGTTGATTGAGAGTCAGTGACTTATAAGTCAGTAAAAGGATTTTATTTTGAATTCTGGCATCAATTTGTAACCAATAAAGTTCACATGATGATGGTGATAATTGAGAGCAGCTTAGCTTAGTCGGCTAAACTGGTGGTAGCCACTGTGTCTAGGTCCCCGGTTCAATTCCCATCGCTGCATGCTCTCATTGTGTTTCAGGGCTGAAATGCAGGTTATATAGCGCACCGTTTTTCGGATGAGGCGTTTAAGCCGTTGGTCCTGTGTGCATTATAGCCCGTCTATATTATTAGTTATTTTATATTTAAAAACACTTTAATTTTGGCTTTGCATTCAAGTTGACTCGAATTCGTCATGACATAGGTTAAGCAATTATCCAAAACCGTGGCCAACTAAAAAATTAAAATGTGCACAGTATGTAACTCAAATAGGGCCTAACACTTTTTATTATTCGTGCAGCGAAATCAAATAATACATATGTTGTTTTAAACGACCCATTATATTAGAATGGCAATGTGTGTTTTTTTTTTTTTTCAAAATCAGACAGCGAGCAGCAATTCTGTATCTCAGAAGTTTTGTAGACGTTCAGTCAGTCTAGACAACCCGAGTAAAGTTTCATGCAAATGTTTCGTACGGGGAAAAAATCGCCACCGGGAGACAATCCCCTACTCTTTTCCGAACTGTGTGCTGCAATCGTTAACGTGCACCTGGGCATCCGAAAGACGGTGTGCTATGGTAACTTGTATTTCTGCCCTCCAGCTGAAACACAAGGAAAGGCAGAGCGATGGGAATTGGACCGGGGACCTAAAGATTTTTACGGTTCAGCGCACACACAGTGGCTACCACCAGATTAGTCGACTGAGCTTAGCTGCTCTCTGTTATGACATGACATAGGCCTATATTTTACCGTATTGATTGCCTCAATTCTTCCATTTGGATTTTCATTCTAATATTTCGGCATTAATTTTGATTCATTAATTAATCTTAATATTTAAGATTATTTTTGTTCACTGTTGTTGACTGACTAGGTTGTATGGTAGGTTGTGTGGTGGTTGTGTGGTTATTCCCGGCAAAATTCACTAAAAACAGATTTTTTTAAAGAAAAGATGCATATGCATTACTCCAATTGTTATAAATCATGGAAAAATATTGGCATAAATTTTAGTTTTACGCAAAAGAATAAAAAAAATGAGAAATACAGACTATTTCTCATAGAATATTACCATTTTCTAGGTTACTAGGCAAATTCGGAGGTTGTAGATCGCATCCGCTGGAATACTCTCGCTTTTATGTATACTTTATACAGTCGTTAAAGTGCGCCCTCTCTAATGGGATTAATTTTTGTACTTCGCATCTCGCACAATGCGGTCGTTCGAGTAGGCCTGAGATATTTGTTCAAGTGTCAAAATCTCGGTCAGAATAAGTTTTTAAACAAATTTGAGATAATTCCTATGAAATATTATATTTCACAAGTGTCAATACTAGCAACGGAAAATATCATGTCGGCCGTTTTTTGTGTGATAACAGAACCTAAATCGAGGTAAGGCTAGGCCTAGTCTAGCAGTGTTGGATAGACTAATGTTTTCGGCGCCTACTATATTTCTTCGCACGACCTATCGCAAAATCAAACAGTTAAAAAATTCATCCGCATATATTTTTTGTGTGGAACACAAAAAAAATCAAATTTCAGTCTTATTTTACATTTTTTCATGCTTAGGAATGTCAAAATTTAGTTAAACTAGCAATACAAAAATTAGATTTTTCTTAACAACTGAAATTTTGCCGGGAATGGGGCTTTAATTACTTATTTTCAAATTTCAAGCTCTTTGTTTTTGTTTCTGTTTTTATTGTCTTTTTATTGTAATTTTGATTGTCATTTTAACCCTAAATGAAATTTGAAATTAATTTGAAACATTTTGAGCAAAAAAAAGAACATTGAGTCTGGGCAATGTTTACTGGTTATTTAAAAAAAAGTGTACTTAAAGGCCTTGAGCATGTACCGCAATCATGCAAACTTTCAAATGATAGTGATTATTCAGTAATAAATAATAATAGAAATATTTTTCCACTACAAAACGTGCACTTTATTTCTCATCCAGTCATATTTTTAAGCTTTGATCTGTGTCGTGTTATGTATTCATTATTTGGTTAACATTCATACTTGAACTAATCCGATGTGTTTACGCTTTTTGGCATTGCTTAATTTCTATTCGGAAATTTCTGAGAATTCAATTGTAAATTTGTATCCTTGTTCCATTTGAATGTCACATCAATGCTATTGTAATGCTCAATATTCACAAGTAAAGGTCCGTAAAACGATATTTTTGTAGGATGGGTTCAACCTCATAAATTCAGACCTATGTCTCGTTATTGTTAAAGAACTAATTTAATATACCGTACTGTACTTATATAGGCCTATCTATTGTTGCGACTGGGTATCATTTTGACGATTTTGTAGAAGGTGGCTACATGGCAGGCATTGGGCTAAATACTGAAATGAATATTGTCGATGGGCACACTTATATAATGACTACTGTCAGGCCCGTAGCCAGGTTCTTCCAAGGAGGGGGGGGGGGTTCTGGACGTGAGGTCCACAGTTGAAGACACGGTGGGGTCGGCGAAACCCCCATAGCAAGAGGATTTTTGTGCTTTATGGGTCTAAATAATGCTATAAAAGCTAAGATATGTTTGCAAATGGCTGTGTCTGGGTGGGTCTGCAGTGCATTAGTTGAGTTAGAGGACTTATTTGGGAAATTTAAAGAGGGGGTTTCGCCAGAAAAAAAGGGGTTTGCTAGAAAAGGGGGGTTCTCCCGAAGCATAACCCCACCCCCTGGATACGGGCCTGACTGTAGTTATTCATACAGGATAACAGATATAAGCGTCAAATTTAAGATTCATTCAAGCTCGGTTTCCATAGAATCGGTGACGAATCGGGGTGCCTTCTCGATTGCGTCAGGCTGCTAGCAATGCACCCCGATTCGTCCGCAACGCAATCGGCAAAGTTGAACCTGGTTCAACCTACCCCACAACTGTCGGCGACTGTCGCCGATAGGGTGGGCGATTCTATGGAAACGGAGCTTCACTCTACATTCCATGCCGCAAATTATTTACTGATTAAATATCTGTATTTTCATTTCAATTATAGTTCAGCATGATCTATTCTGCCTAATTGGACGTTTTTAAAGCGAATCGCTCTAAACTGGCATTACCCTCACGTAATTTTCGCGATGACAGGTCGTAATTAAATCATTCTACTTAATTAAATCTACTTGAAAATTTCTTCATGAATGAATCGTCAAAATTTTCTTTAGAGGACCTAAGCCTAGATCAACAAAGATCATATGGTACGTCTAATGAAACTTTCGATGCAAATAGCATGAAATTATCTGATAAATGCATATTGTAAAAAAAAAAAACAAAAAAAAAAACAAAAAACAGTTGAAACCTATTAAATATATATAGGCTATAGCCCTAAAAAAAAAAAAAAAACATAGTGAAGGGAAATTAAGCGGGACAGTCCCGGCTGTCCCCGGTAGCTGGTTACGGCATTAATTCAGTAATAAACTTCCTTAATCACATTCGAATTTATGGGAATTCAACCATATAATTAACAAATAGGCCTATCTAATACAATGTACATATTTCAGCTTATACAAACAACGTTATACCTAACCTTTGCTGACACAAATATGTTACTATAAATAAAATAAATTATTGTTGCGTGTGCATGCAACAAATTCGACTATTATACAAAATTACACCCTACAATTGTTGTTTAGGTAGGCCTATAATTAGATATCTTTATGTCTATTGTTTAATAGGCAGATTTATTCGTGCAAAGCAAAGTAGTCAAATGGAACTCATTTATTTCGCTATCCAAGCGAATGGACAGCAAGCCTAACTCAAAAATATTTGCTTTGCCCAAGAATAATTTCTCCTACTGGAAAACTATCTTTAATGTAGTCTATTTTGCCGTTGAATTTTGTCAAAAGAAAAGTAAAAGGTACTGCTTGAAATGTTACTACAACGCATCGAAAAAAGCTTGCCTCCTAAAATTAATCGACAACAAATATTTTATTGGAGCCGACTAGCATAAACAAAGACCACTTATTTGATGATACTTCCTATGCAAAGCAATTACGACAGCAAAGGAAAAAGCTAATACGTAAATAATCAGCACTAGGCCTATTGGAAACAATTGTTACATATTTTTATGTCAATCCAGACATGTTTAATGGAGTCGTCATGCAAGTAAGGCAAGTATGCTGATATCCTACACCATAAGATAAAATGTTAGGCCATAATATTGACATAATAAATTCACTCGTTAGTAACGCCCTATATTTTCTTTTTTCCCTTTCTTACTAATGTAATAGTTGTCACATCTCTAGCTCTCTCGCTCATTTGAAAGAAGGAGAGTTAAAGAGTTTGGAGAAGTAACAATATTTTGCGTTAATTATTTATATAAACAAAAATACATCCATCTAAATATAATTTCTGTAAATCTAAATAATATTTTTATATACAAATTATGTTACAATATATACACTGTATACATACATGGATTGATATTATACTTTATCAAAAATCAACTATATCTTATAAGCGTGCATTCGACGACCATACAAAATAACGACCTGATTTCTTTTTAAAATATCAAGTCACATCTCCATCATCATCCACAATTGCATTAACAATAATTAATAGATGCTGTGCATGGCTTTCGTAATACATTTTACTATTCTTATACCTTTCATTGACATTAACGTTTACTGTGGCGAAATGAAGAAGGCCCAGTCGGCCCGCTCCCCACCGCCTTCCCTCCCCCACTCTAAATTCTTGGAAATTAAAAGAGAATTGAGAGCCAAAAGGACAAAATTATAATAAAATTCAAGTCTAAGAGTGCCAGTTACGGCCACTTAGTGGTGAAATATCCACACCTCAGCCCCAACCGTGGTTGGGCTGAGGTGGTATATACCCTCTATTTGCCAAAGTCCCTCACTGGACCCCATGTATTTGGATTTGATGTATCCGCTACTGGTTTAGAACCGTATTTATTTAGGTGTATGTATCAGTGTTCGTAAACAAGATTCTGCTTTAAATACTTTCAAGCTATACAGTAATTATTAAGGATTGGTTGTGACCGCCGCGTGCAAAGTATACTATGACAGGTTTAATTGTGAGTTTAAAATTTAGCAAGTACAGCAGAATTGTAAACGTTCAGTTGTATTTATAGGCTATAAAGTAAACAGCTGAGTTAAAAATTTTATCCACAAAAATTCTTTGCAATTGTCATTATAATGCATAGGCCTATCTATGTACATACAAATGTATAGGGATATTATAATGTTATTTAACCTTTTTAACATTAGGCCTATGTAGGCCTATATGTATATGTAAATATATAGGCTTTATATATATGTATATAGGCCTATATATACAGGAATATGACGTCACTATATATCTGGTTTACGTCGGATACACAGGCAATCTTCGTTTCTTTCATGAATCTCGTTGTCTGGTGCGGATGTTGTAGAAGGTGCATCTGGATTGGACCCTTGTAAATTAACAAAATAATCAGAAGAAAATTAGCATTACTGCAAAATAATACTAATAGTACCACAGCTAATACCAATAATGTTTATTATGATGTTTACTCTCATGATGATTATTATTAATATATAGGCCTAATGTTAACGTGACATAACACAACGTGACTTGACTAACATATACCCATGATTCAAAAAAGAAGATTTACAGACGGATTACAATGAAAATACATAACATTTCTTTCAGAATTGTTAGGGTGTAAGTATGCAAAGCATAAAACGGTATTATTTTAACAAATAAACATAAATCTCGTTTAATTACTTTAAAGCTAAAATTAAACAATTAAATTTCAAGCTAAAATAGCAATAGTGTGGCGGATTCAACGGGGGCCCAGCCGGCCCGCACCTCCCTTTCTAAATGTTTCAAAATTGTACAAAAATGGGGATAAAAAGAAAATTATATTTAAATTTTTATCATGAGGGTGCCATTTCCGGCCATCTGAGGGTGCCTGAATCATAAATTTTCTCACCTCAGCCCCACCCTGTTGGGGTATAGACCCTCCACATTAAAAAAAAAACCCTCCCTGGGCCCCTCCATTTTAAAACTTCCTGGTTTGGCCACTGCAATGTACATATAAATAATGGGCTTACTTACCATAGATATACTGTATTCCATTAATGTCATCTTGCGGTAGCATGAAATTAGGAATGTATCCTGAATAATACGGCCACATTAAAGCAGCAGGATCACTTGAATGATTGAGGCCTAAGCTGTGGCCAAACTCATGTGCAGCCACTTGGAACAAATCAATCCCTTGATAAATGTAAAAACGATTACGATGTTCAATTGGTATCATCTATCAATTATGATAGCACACACATATATTTCTCTATGCATATATACACACAGTATATTCATACCTATTACTTTTCCGAAAATCGATCCGCATTTCTTTCGTTTTGTTTATGTTTAATTCAAGAAAATTATTTTCACAATATTTGGTAAATCTAATAATCTCAGACAGATGATGATTCTGATAGCGTGTCAATATCAATATTATTTTATTGTAGCATATGGTTCCCGCACAATTATTATAATCGAAACTACTGGGTTTTGCCAACAGGCTGTCGTGCATGCATTCAATATTTTAAAGTCGTTTAATAATGGAGAAAGTGTTTAGCAATATATATATACACACGGTATACTGAACGGTAACTAGCGCCGAGAGCCAGACCACCGTATTCCGACACTATCGGTAGCCCCATCGCAAGTGATATCATTCACTTCCAATAACAATAATGTATTTAAATTCATAACAGAGCATATTATATTATATTGATATGAGAGATCTTACCGGGTCCTCCATTAATTGTAAAATTTTCAGCCTCGTCGAAATGTGCGTCACCACCAAATCCCGGTCCTGGGTAGAATGCATGGGCAAGCACACCTAAGGGGCCATCAAATGGATTATTGTCTCCGTGTTCTCCATCACTGAACAGTATGTTTATATCAGGATTAGATGATGGATCTACTTTGGTGAATCTTAAAGGACTGACGTCACTCCAGAGTTTGAAAGCAGCTTCAATAGCTTCTCTGGTATCATTCACAGGTATGTCAGTTGTGTAGTTCAAAAAACTATTAAGCAGATAAAATCAATAAATATTCTTTTAGTATTTTCATTCTGCACTATTATTATTATTATTATTATATACTTTAATATATTTACTTTTAAAATTCATCCCATTTTATGTAAATGAATATTTTACCTTATTACTCATTATATAGGCTGTTAATGTAATTGAATGTGTTCCCACGTCGTTAAGGAATAGAAAATTTCCAGTAAAATTTTTGAATAACAACATTTTTTTGTATCTTGTTTTATGACAACGTTTTCTTAAATCATTATATGTTTAAGAAAGTAATGAAAAATCGTACGTACCTGTACGTTAAAGATGTACTCAACCATTTTGTTCCAACCCATGCAAATCGAAGGAGAGATTGCTGCGGTTCGTCATCTCTGACGCCACATCTCGGCTGCGACATCCTTGCTCTTGTCTCGCTTGTCATGGTTCCCGTCTCTGGTAAGTTGTTTCGGCGTTGGAACGACAAAAGTCCTTCACGCAACTCATCATCTGAACGTTCTACCCCGTCCGAAACTGGAGTTAGGTAACCATATTGCTCTAGATATTCCTAGATAAGACGTAAATAATAATAATAATAATAATAATAATAATAATAATAATAATAATAATAATATTATTATTATAATATTAGTAAAATTAATAATAATAATAACAATAATAAAAATGATAATAATAATGCAAATGCTATTGGTAATGATATTAATAACGATAATGGTAATATTAATAATAGTAATAATATATTTATTAGGCCTAATAATAACAATGATGGTGATGATTTCTCAGTTAGATTCAAAGGTGGACTTCGTTGTCAAAACGATAGTTCATTTTAAAACTCATAGAAATTTAGTGTATTACAGCCTGATTTTCATAACATCGCTACAATCGTACAGTGCTTTCATTGTAATCGTTCCCACTACTGCTTAAGCTTGGTTACAATTGCTCACGTTATCGCCTACAATTTTCGGTGATGCTGATTGGTCTGTCAAGGACCTTCCCGGTTCCGCATGCGTCGGAAACTGCTACGCATTAGAGTGATTGCACTGAAAACACTGTCCCCGACGCAATCGAAAAGGGTCCCAGATCTGACCACATTGTGTAGAAATTATATGGACACTAGACCTAATATGTGTAACCGTCCTGGTTCTGGTGGGTCAAGCCGACCTCCAAAAGACAAACACATTTGGTAGTGAAATCACTGAACCTTTAGAAGTAGTAAGCGAAAATTACACCTCCAATTGAGTGTAAACATTTTTATAGTATCTCCAAAGTAAATCAAGAAATCATGGACACAGGTAAAGCACTTATGCAAGCTTGTCCAGGGAGCCGCCAACGGGATCTGCAGCAAAGAGCCCTTGACAATCCTGTAGTTCTGAGTTACTATAGTAGAAGACAATTTAAATGATTTCTGCAAGTCCTCTTAAACCCGGTCGAGCTGAACGAGTGATTACCGTACTCGTGCGAATAAGCGCCTCGTTTGAATAAGCGCCTCGTTTGAATAAACGTGAAAATTTCCTTAAGCGCCCTGTTTGAATAAGCGCCCCCTCATAAGATTTTCTTTTTAGCAAGTCAATAATCCAATCAATCACGGGACTGTGGTTGTTGGCATGATTTAAGCTGTAGAGTGGAAACACATTCTTCTTCAGTCAATATCAAAATAAGGATATTTCTCTTGGACAGATAAGAGATCCGATCCCTGGAGAGACAGTATATTTCCAACTTTAATCTTTTTACATATTTGTCTATGTCTAGTCCTACACCTCCTTTTCTTTTTTCGACCTTAAGCACATTCTCATCTGAGTTTTCAAGAAAAGTACAATGATCCTACCATCCTGCTTATCTCAATCGGCCGATGGCCAACAAGCTAACCCACCACTAATTGCATCTGCTGTTTTGCTGTTATGTAAATATTCACGCATTCTTGTTATGAGCTATGTTCTCTGGACGATTATCTTTTCTAACCACCATTTGTAATGTCCTTATATAATCTTTTTTTTCATTCAAAAAGTGCCTCTTGAATTTTTAATTATTAAAATAATTTCCCATAAGAACCCCTCGATTTTCATCTATTTCCATAAGCGCCCCCTCAATTTCCACTCTGTTTTCATAAGCGCCCCGTTTAAATAAGCGCCCCGTTTGAATAAGCGCCCCTCAGAAAATGCAAAAAATATTTAAAGCGCCCGGGCGCTTATTCGCGCGAGTACGGTACTGGTACGAACACAGATAGAAATGGATGGCTTTTGCTCAGACAGACGTTTGTTGAACACTAGTTTGTCAAACTTTACAAACGTGCGTGCCGATATTCCAAGAAATAGATTTTTAAAAAGTATTTTTGTAATGTATTATACCGTGGTATAAAGCAAACGTAAATACCTGACTGAAGAAAATGCTATTGAATAAATTCAAATTTGACTTGAAACATGTATTCAACCAATAGAAAATAAAAAGTAATCAACAATAAGACAAATAATTAATGATTTCCATTTGATAATTAAATTAAACTACAGATTGTATTGGTTAGGATCAGGTCTAGAAGTTAAATTAAACTTGTCTCAACCTGACCCAAAAACGGATACAAATATAGTGTATGATATAAACGGTGAAATTAAAGACAATGAACGCAAATAATACTATATATATATATATATAGCATACACTGAAATATAAATCAAGGTAGCCGTTAACACTGTTAAATTATATACATAAATCATCAAAGAAAGGTAAATACAGTGTTCGAATAAAGGACATAATAATACATCGTGTAGCATAGCTCTCAACGAATGTAG